CTAACAAACTAACAGACCAACAAACTAGCGAACTAATAAACAAACAGACCAACAAACTAACGAACTAATAAACAAACAGACTAACAAACTAACAGACCTACAAACTAACGAACTAATAAAGAAACAGACTAACAAACTAACAGACCAACAAACTAACGAACTAATAAACAAACGGACTAACAAACTAACAGACCAACAAACTAGCGAACTAATAAACAAACAAACTAACAGACCAACAAACTAGCGAACTAATAAACAAACAGACTAACAAACTAACAGACTAACAAACTAATAAACAAACAGACTAACAAACTAACAGACTAACAAACTAATAAACAAACAAGCAGACTAACAGACTAACAAACTAATAGACTCACGCAGCGAATAAACTTTTTTGGTGACCGCAATATATTTTACCACGTTTCACAGTTGACCACAACTAGTACGATTCTTCATTTGCAAGATAGTCAAGTCAACTGTTTACGGCAAACTGACTGCTGAGCAACAAGTCAATATTATTAGCACTGCAGATGAAGATCCTGGCTAACGGATCGAAAGATTTGCAGTAATAAATTTACGTGGGGTTTCCACAAAGAAAAAGTATTATATGTTTTATCGCCATGCGGTCCTACAATGAACTAATCATTTATTTGTATGCACCACGTCATGTAATTCGGTTTGGGATAATCATTTCAGTGGTTGTAAATGTTGCGTTATCAGCGTTACGCATGTACACAATTGATGTACACTATGATTTGATTGCGTATAGAAATGACTGCTGGGGTCATATTTCATACTACTCATTAACACTACTTTTTAGCTGATGATCAAATTTAAATGTGATATTTTATTTCTATGTACCCTCTACCATGGTCTGGCTGTTTCTCTGATCCAGTCTACTGCGCTATTTGATCAGTTTAAATTTTGAAAATGAAGTCTTGAATTAAATACCGTATTCTTATACCATGAACACCAATTTTGTTCAGAGGGCCACAGGTTTTCAGTGTAAACTGTTATGTGTTATATAAATAAATAAAATGGTGTTATTATTATTATTAGATATGAATGAATGTTTATTGAATAACGGCGGATGTGAACAGACATGTCGTAATGTCCCTGGTAGTTGTCAATGTGGTTGTCACTCAGGATATCGTCTTAGCAATGATATGAAAACTTGCCAAGGTAGGAAACATATCTTTCCTTCTGGGTACTCGCAAGTTCCCCCCCCCCTGTCTGTACGTTTATCCTATGATTACCAGAACCTTGCAGAACAAATTTATGACATTAATGTCCCATAAACTGTAAATAATCTGCGTAAAATGTCATTCGTGTTGTCTCTTGTCCAGTCTTTCTGTAAACTTGCGTAATTAGATTTCAACAATGCAGAATTCTTGTTTTTTCAGACATCGACGAATGTACAGATTTTCCGACAATTTGTGGTCACAACTGCACCAACACCCCCGGGGGATATAAATGTACTTGCCCCCCTGGAACGAGAAGCATTGATAATGGAGGTTTATGTTTGTGAAATGAAAACTGTTCAAAGTTAGATGGTAATTTATTACAAGATGTGTTCTCCGTGTGATATAGACAAAGAGTGAAACACATAGCCACTAATACTGTATTTGCTATGGTACACAGGCTAACCAAAATGGCTGATCTTGTTTCAAAGATACTGTGATTGAATCCAAATGGAGAAAAAAACGCTGGTATCACTTTTGCTAGTATGGTGCAAAATGACATCGTTTACAAAAGTAAACAAAATTCTTAATTTGCAAAGAATTTTTTTTGTAAATATACAAATTGTAGTGTAGTGAATTAGTGAATATATACGCAAGCACTATAATGCCTCGGTCAAACGAGGATGACTGGATGAGAGTTGATGAGAAGTGGCAGTCACGCATTGTTACAGGGGACATTTCAAGCTCTAGATTAACGAAATAAAGGTTTGATGTGTGTCCAACTATGTTTTAACTTAAATACAATACATGATAGTTGTTGGGAAAACATTAAGAACAGCTAACTAAGGTCACGTGACTGCCAACTCTCATGCACTCTCATTCTCGTTTGATCCAGGCTTAACGGTTGCGCGCTATACTGCGGTATTTTAGAGCTAGAGGTGATCTGGCGCGTTCCTTGAGCGCATCCCAATGGAAAAGATATAATCGCCAATAGTCCAATATACCTTTGCACTTTCAGGCGGAATTACGCAAAATTTTGACTTGCCTGCATTCTGACAATTTTGTTTGAAATAGCAGACATCCCGTACATATATCGCGTTTCGTCTCTCAGAGCGAACTCAATATGATTGCCTGTGCAAACTGAAATGTAATTCTCTTTGTTGACCACACGGTACTATCTGTGTCTGAGTATATTACGTTTTTATTCAACTTTAAAATGTCCATAATTTTGATCCAGACATATTTCTAGAATCATATAGTCTAGAATTAAAGGTTAGATTATTGAATGATTGAAAGCATTTGTTTTTATAAAAAAGGCATTGGAATGATCGCACCTTGATCAAGCATATGTAATTACTATGTTATAGAATATTTAAGAACAATAATATTGATTTATCAATTAATTAGGACATATTGATTAGTTTAATGAATCAGATTAACAATTGCAATGTAAACTTTAATTACAATGTATCATAAAGTTCTACAAAAATACAGAAATATAAACTTACTCCAGTGTTGATGGGTAGTAAATGTTGTAATGCCACAGAGAATGAGGTTTTGGGAACGTCCGATACACGTGAGTGACCGCAGATAGAGACCATGGATGAATCACCAGAAAAGGGATGAATCACTCAGAAGCCCTGGGTACAGTGGCGGAAAATGACGAATTTTCGGAAATTTTGACCTAAAAGAGGGCTAAAAACAGCCTTTTCGAGTGCAAATAGGGGGGTTTGTCGGAAATTTAAAAGTTTTGTCGGAAATTTAGGAGACTTTGCGCCCCCCCCCCCGGAAAAAGTGAATTTCCGCCACTGTGGCTGGGTACGAGTCCCATTGTGCCCTGAACCATCCTCTTCCCCAGGATCACGCTACGTTGCTCTTCGCAGTGCCGGGGAACAAAGATGGGCCTGAACAAGCTTGATGCTTTCATCCCCCCGTGAGTATAGAGTCAAGTTTAGGGTAAAGTTTGGTTGTGTGATGATTTTTCCCTATGTATAGTTAACAGATAGATGAGGAATAACCAGACCCAGGATCGCAACCTCATACCCAGGGTCTTTCCTCTTGGGGAGAAAAGACTCTGGTAGACGCTGGTCACGTGATCTGCTAAAATCTAGCAGATTTCTAATTATAAACTATCTTGGATTCATTTACTGACATTCATACAAAATGCAAATTATAAATTAAACTATAAAAATCGTGCAAATATCAAATGTTTATTGACCTGTCTTGGATTGCTAATTAAAAATCTGCTAGATTTTAGCAGATCATGTGACCATCGTCTACCAGGGTCTTTCAGTCCCCTCGCCAAGAGAAAAGACCCTGGGTACGAGGTTGCTAGGATCGTTTCAAGCAGTACAGACCGGCGTTGATTTCAATTTCTAGAACGTTCGGCAAATGACCAAGATTGCATGAAATTGTTTAACAATCTAACTACTATTTTATTGAATTATACAACAATTTACAAGTTATTTCGATTGAATATCAACACTGTTGATCCTAGCGCACAGCACTTGGTACATTAGGGATCGTACAAATATGGGACGGCAACGTGACAACGGTCGTTTTAAATAAAATGAGCTATAAACCATAGCTATTATAAAGTTAGTCACTACAATCTTTGACAATATACATTCTAGTTTTTACTTGCACTCGGATGTATTATACCTTTTCTTGATATATTTCATTCTTGACCCTCCCCTCACCTATTTCAATGTTGGCGTCTTGCAACTAGACATCAGATTTTCGTGAGCCCAACATTGAACTGGGGGAACGGAGAGTGCTGCCGCTTTCAAATTGTTTGAAATTTTGTCCCATATTTTTTGACAAAGAGTGTAGTTAGTTATTAGTGAGGTTTAGATTTGACTTCCACTACTGATACCTGACTAAGTACGCATAAGATTGGTTAATCTGGTAGATTAAACGCATAAGATTGGTTAATCTGGTAGATTAAACGCATAAGATTGGTTAATCTGGTAGATTAAACGCATGTGGTTGGTTAATGTTCCCTTAAGGTAGCGGTAGTGATGTCAAATTTAAACTTCACTAATTACTTGGAGAGTACGGTACAAATGATTTACATTGAATAGCATTAACTTAAGCCCAGTATTTGCAGATTGCAATGATGTATATACCGACACTGTTACATCGGATATCTTAAAATGGTCAATGGTCGCGCCCGTTACGACCAAGTAAAATCAGGCTAACTCTAGACCAGTATGAGGGCTTATTCATATATTATTCCTTGAAACTATTAATTAAAAGTGACTACATCAGGAGTTCGTACGATAGCTCTGTCTGATTGTTGAGTTTCATCAATGGTTTCAACATATGTATACGAATTATCTTCCTCCTCATCACTCTCGTCCATCCATTTCCCTCGTTCGTTGAGTAAATCCAATCTTTCAGGAGACGTATCTTCACGCAGTGGATACACCACACCATCACCCACACTGAAAGACACATGAAAATGAAAGACTATATTACTGTACCAGGGTACTTACATATTCGCATAAATTGCGCCCTGTACTACATCCCGACACACGTTACTTCCTGTATTAAACATATATCGACAATGAAAGACTATGGAATGTATTGCCATTGAATCTTAGGAGTATCTCTGATTTTAATATTTTTAAGCAAGATCTTAAGACATATCTTTTTAAAGAGGCTTTTTATTAGCTCAGTTCTTAGATTAAATTTGTAATATTAGTTCTACGTATTTTAATTGTCCTATCCATTGTTGTAACGCGCATTTGAAAACTGCATTGTTGAATTTGCGCGATATAAATTAATAAATGTTATGTTATGTTATGTTATGACAAGAACTCGCGACGTTGTCCTTTATGCGCAAATTATTCCGCCCAAAATAATTCCGCCCAAAATTCAAGGTCAATTTGAAAAAAATCCTGGGGTAAATGCTCCGCCTTATAGGTAGAACATTGCAGGCTAGAGATCGACAGAAGTGTATCATGACACTTGTTTGAGTTTTATGGAGTTTGGGTCTGTATACATGTCCATTCATAAAACTTTCTTGATTGTTGTTTGGGTGTATATTTTTATAGTAATTTTTAGAATCAATACTTTTGTAAATTGAAACGGCCCCTTGAAAATCAGACTTTGGCTGGAGGGCTTTAAAATAACTGGAAATAAAATAAAATAAATAAAAGCGAGAAGGGCTGCTTGCATCTGTTATAAAATATCCATTTACATTCATACGTTACAACGCACCCCTCCTGCTCCATGGGCTCTTATTTTGCCACACATCAGTGGCATATATAGATCAGTGGTTGGGAAAAAGATTCGTTGTGATGCAGATACCACACCGCGAAAACATGCGAATTTTGCAACAATACGCCCTTTGGCTATAGAGCCTTGTTTTCGTGTACGTGATATTAGAGACCTTACGATTTGGGACGACGACGGCTATCCACACAATGAATAATTAATATCCCACGGGAGTTTGAGGGAGTCTGTTTACAACGGGAAACTAAATACTTTTACGTCTTGGATAAAGCGCCTGCATCTCAAGACGCGAGAAGTGATACTCAGCAAATTAGCTCAGTACTATAGTAGAACTTTCCCAACAATAAAGCCACTACTTCAAGCTATTGTCAACATGGACGTCAGATTTCAGAGGGTGTATTAAAATGTATTAAAAACTGTGTTTGTGTCAGTTTGTTTGTGGTAATCTTCAACACATATGACAAAACATAAGATTTTTAAAGTTTTTTGTTTCCTTACATGAGCGCTATGATGCAAAATGCCGTCAAAACCAGGTGATCTCGGAACTTGGAAAAGGCCTGGCACTAGTTGTAAAATAGAAATCCATTTCTGGTTTAAAATTACTCAATATCTCATTAACGGTATTAGATTTCTATCTCAAATTTGTCCCAGACATTCATTTCCCTGTGCAAGACACAGACACAAAGTTTCAAACAGTTTCACAAAAGAATCAGGGCGTGACAAGTGATTAAAGGTACGAAACTGGATTTCTATTCTGTTGCTAGTCCCAGTCCTTTTGCTCACCGTCAGATCATAGTTATAGCAATTTTCAGGTGACGTCCGTGTTGACAAAAACGTCGTTTGCTTAAGCTCACTATTAGTAATCACGAAAATGAGGCACTATAGCCAACGTAACGTACTTTCCGAAAGCGTGTGCTAAGTTGTCATCGATGGGTTATACCTGCACTGCATCGTGCCTCGTCGCTTCAGTGTCGAATAGAGATCAGTGGGAAAACACTGGCGCGCGGTCCTAATGGGAATCATCCTCGTCCCCAGGGCCTCCAGGCCGCGCGCGTCCTTCCTAGGCCCATTCTCGTACCCAGAGCCCTTCTTACGCGCGTTCGACCGAGCCCGACGAGGGGCTCTGGCCAAATCCATAACCGGATACCATAAAAACATGGTATCCGGTTAAACACTGCGCATGCTCAACGTCAAACGCGGATAAACCCTTCGGTTTTCTTGTTTGTTTCGTTTTGAAAGTTTTTCTCCAGGAAAACCCCACAAAAGCGGTAGGTTTCGCTAATTTTATTTATTTAAATCAATTAGTAGGTAAGACGTGATAAACAGGTAGGCAATTTGTCTGAGCATGCGCGCAGAAAATCAATATGGCGACATATATCAGGAGTGTTTCGAGGATTTATCTGGTTTTAAAGCTGATAAAACAACATTTTAATGAACGAAAACTTTGTAATATTTCGTGGAAAACATTAAGCTGTGCATTCCAAAGGTTTTAAATAAAAAATAAGTACTTTTGCTTTATTTTATTGCTTTTTATGCTTTGCAAACAGGCAAGCTCATATTTTTTGAAAAAATTTTATCTAATATTTTACCCATTATTTGTTTAATCTGAACAAAAATAGATAGAACACTTGGCTATATAAGTTATAAAGGTATTGTTAGCTGATCTGAAAGATTTCAGTATTCCAGGTACACATTTTAACAAAGAATAAAATTAAAATATATGCATATCAAAAACAATGGTTTTTATAAGAACAACACAGAATAAGTTGTTATTTTCTATTTTTACAAAAAACAAGTTTGAAAACAGGATCTAGTCCTTCAGCTTGATGTCATATTCCATTTACTTGGATATTTGAATAAAGGAATGTGAAATAATAATTGAAACTTGTCCAAAATTTGATACCAACACTGGAATGAACAGATACTATCACCTAAAAATAAAAGAAAACAGAACTTAAATTTATCATATAATGCTATGAAAAAATCTTAGATACTACAAGCATTTATAATATAGCATTTGTAAATTCTGAACGCTGATTGGCTAAGAGCCGTGTTGATATAACTCCATGTCAACACGGGAAATTTTCCGCCGCTTGTAACACGGAAATTTTTCTTATTCTTCGGGCTTTTGACATTGCTATATTATAAAACAAATATAAAACATTTATTCCGTATTGATATATAGTTATATCAACACTCGTGGAAGTTGGGAAAACTCGAAATTGTGTGAAAACACTCCGCCCTTCGGGCGTCGTGTTTCCACACAATTTCTCGTTTTCCCAATTTCCACTCGTGTTGATATAACTGTATATCAACACGGAAAATGTTTTATATTTGTTAAATAGTGAACACAACTCTTTAACAAATTCACTAAAATAAGTTAAGTTATGCTACGATAAGAGGATGGCAATATATGACAACATCAAATGTTACCATCTTCAGTGTCCAAAAAAAGTGCCGCGCGCATTTTTCGTGGTCGCATAACTGGCATTGCCACAAACCCAGGTGAAAAAGCAATTAGAAAAACCTGGTTTTGGGTGATGAGTATAGTCAATTTCTTGACTTATTCAATTTTCTAAGTTTTTCCAGGTAAACAGGTTCAACATTGAAATAAGCCCCATTCGGGATCTCATAGGGTCCAAAATATTGTGTATGGACCAGATTTTTTTAAATTTTCTGTGATTTACATAACACTAGTTATAATTTAAGGGTCAACCAGTATTGTTCAAGACATATTTTCCTTCCAGAACACCTTTTCAAAATACTAACCCAAGCATGTCAAAAATAGTGTACATTTACAAGGGCAATTTCAACCCTTTGGCACATTTTTCCAATGAATGATTTTAATTCTAATATAAAGACTATAGATAAAACTTTGATTTAAAGCTAGTTTCAAGTGATGAGCATACCCTAAATTTTAAGCTATACCTCAAAGAAGATAGGTCATTTCAACATAAACATTGAAATATGGGTATACTGACAGCTCTGTCACACGTGTAGTTTGACATTAGCAAACCTTCCGAAACATTTTAATGAAAGTATAATTCACAAAGTTCACATGTTCACTTACTTCTTAACATCTGTTTTAATCCAACTAGCTCTGTAGGCACCAGCAAAATTTAGTGTCGATGTAAATATCCATTTTGTTCATGTTTCCCCGGTGAAAATATAGTCTATTCCAAAGCTGATTTCGACGTACTTTAGCTTTTCAGAAACCGTTGGCCTTCATCAGTAAGATTATTAACTGTTTCACAAACATATTTAATAGTAAACAGCTAAAATATTCTCCGAAAGTCTATATTTTTGCTCTTCGACGCGAAAATGGAAACTCAAAGAAGAAATGAGCCGCTATTTTTGGTCAGCGTCGACAAATTGCCTACCTGTTAGTTTGATATGGATTTGGCCAGAGCCGCTCGTCAGGCTCGGTCGAACGCGCGTAAGAAGGGCTCTGGGTACGAGAATGTCCTAGGCCCTGGGACACACGGAACCGGAAGTGCAAGAAAACTTGCAGTAGTTTCTAAAGGGCATGCTCTTGAATTGGGACGCTTTAGCACCCGTAACAATTTTCACAGAGAAGTATTACGAAGAAGCGAAGTATTTGTGTTGACATATGTTGATACAATAATTTTGCCTAGCGAAAACTCCTCAACTTCTGCGAAATAGCAGTTCTCTGAAAAGCCAATCATATCTCTTCCTTTAGTCGTCTAACCCAGAGCCTAATTTTCAACGAGTGACCGAGTGAAAATGGCTCTGGGGACGAGAATGAATGGGAATGCGATAAAACTCGCACCGCGCACGGATGAGGGACTGTGGAAGAGTCAGATACCTGCATAAATGCAATACCGTACCTTGTATAAATAGGCAAACACCATAACCAACGTCTCTTACCAAACACCTGTATTATATTATTACGAGCTCCGAGATTAAAACCATGTTTATCTGCTCCTCCAACACGAAATACGGTAGGTCGCATGGATTCTAAAATAAACAAGCACCTTTCACAAACATAAATGAAATATAAGCAAAACATATAACCGAAATAGATATCTACGAAATTTGTTTCATTGAGTTAAATATAAAGCAACTTTAATATAAATTTATTAAACTGGCCAGCGTCGGTCACAGCAAAGAATGTAAGTGTACACGACAGTCAATCAATCTGAGAGAGGTCACTTCTCAATGTTTCAAGCAAAAACATTTCCTCAACAGATGTCGTAGACAACGTGGCTTATTTGTTCCAACTCGCCTGCCGAATGTTTTTTATCTCTTTCAAATCGAATGGATTGTATATCGTGTACTTCACTTACTTCACTTCGGTTTGAGGATTACACAGAAATTAGTTACAATGCGACAACTTTGTTATTTTACATTGTTTTATGGTACGGATGGTTGAGCGTTAATGGGCTAACCGTACTGCCCATGTCTCTATTAGCTATTTAACTTATGTACCCAGTTTGGTGTTTTTTGCTCTCGGTCGTTTTCGCTCATTCTACTCCTTACAATGTGAGACAAGCTATATACAATGCGTTACGATGCGAGTCGACTTGTAGCAAGTCTAGATTGGAGTCTATTACGCAGGAATCGAACCTCATGTTTAGGTACATCCTAATGCACCTAGTTTGGTATTTTATTCGGTCTAACGCCAAAGGATTTGGGGAAGAAATAAAAGTTAAAGGGGCAGTGTCACCAATTTTTTACCAAAAATGTCTTCTATATGTTCAAAGTCTGACCTGTGAATTTGAAAATAAACATTATAAATAGGTTCAGTTATGATATACGAATCATATTAAACAACTTTGAACTTCCACACAGCATGTAAGACGACGTTTTCATACAAATTGACCTAAACTTGAAAAAGTGTCCGCCAACAGTTAATGAAGATGTATTTACAATCCATCTCAATCCTCGCCTAATCTCAACCATTTAGACGTCTGTACATGCTTTTTGTATTTGTTATTGTTTTATGTTGTGCTTACAACACTTCTTTTTAGGTTTTGTGCAAGATTCCTAAAGATTTGCGAGGGTCCAAATCGGCGACACTGCTCCTTTAAGCTCAACGCACTCTCACCTAATGTAGACCTATTCACGGTAACAAGATAGATATGATAGCCAAGTAAGGTCCACAAACTGATACTAAACATTATTGAGATGAAAAACAGGAACAAGATATGTAGACGTCCAGCTCCTCCTTTGCTTATATGCTGCAAAACAAATTCTTGCTTCATTACATACGAGATATATGAGGCTCTTAGTCTATAAACTGTGATGCAGGTAAAATAACAGTGCGGTAAGATATTGTAGATTTAGGGTAAAATCAACAAAACATAAATGTTTTCTTTCTAAGACGGGCAATATAGACCTTTTCGCATGAAAATCTCGTCATCTTTGAAAAAATGAATTTGATTGGTTAATTCGAAGAATGTTCGACGTTTTCTCAATGTCATACCCAAAGATCCAATCGCTCAGGATACGAGATTGAAGCCTTCTATGACCGAACGTTTCCAACAGCCACGCATGCACTTCGTGCGGAAAAGTGTACTATAACACGTCCTGTTATAACTCTACACGATATAGTTTTCATTGTGGCATATATAATCGAATAAATTCCACACTTATAATAATTCTCCATACGCTAGAATGACAATCGTACAAGTACTAATCGTATCGTGTAGACATGCAGGCTTTGACGTAATTGAAATCCACGAAAGTGGCAACACTCAATAGTAGATATATGCTCTAAATATAGTTACAGTATCCACGGAAAACAGAGTTATCGCGGTTAGTGATTTTTTCACCCGTTGTATAAAAATACTTGAATAGTTATAAAACTACGGATATATGGATATACCAGTCAACGGCCAATTTATGAAAATTTGAAAAGTCACTATCTAGTAGATAGCGCCATCCGGCTTTCAACAAAACCAGGATAGACAGATTAGACACAGTATTGCACTTTTCGCAACTGTTCCTGGTTGAACTTTAATTATTGTTTAATATGCGGTTTTTGCCCGAAATTTCCATGCACGAAGATATTAGGAAGATTATAATAGACGAAGGAACAAACAAAATTACTTACCGTCCAAATTTTAATAAAATATTGCAGAGTTGTCATTGCAATAAAAAATGTATAAAGTATTGCGTGGAAGAGAAATAGCAAGAAGAATTTATAATTTCTGAAACCAACACAATTATTAACCCATGGACAATGATGATCCATCTTCAGACGACAACTACAACAAAACATTTAGGAAATTACCGGTAATGAAGAAACAATCTTCTTTTTTTGTACATAAATTATTGCGATAAGCATAATTCATCTGCAATAGACAACAACTTCGGCAGGATGAGAAGATCATTACCAATTTTTTTTAAAGAAAATTATTTTCTAAAATGGTGGCACGGACTGCCACGGAGCGACTTTTACTCGTACTGGTCCATGAAAGCGGACTGTTGCCGTTACTTTCAGGGCTGCCAAACCTCTGAAGACCAGCGCGCAAAAGTTCTGAAATAACTAGGGTCTTCGTTGGCTTGAACAGTCTCGAAAAGACGACAAAAAACAGCGCATTTGACAGAAGTCATGTTGGATTGTTTTGAATTTTCCGGCCGTGACTACAAAAATCAGAAATTCCTGTGCGCATCACGCCTTGTGACGTCATTATGCATATGGTCTATTTAGTAATACTATATAGTCGTTAATTGGCTACAAGATAACAGCTACTAAGACAATAGGACTTATACTTCCAGAAGAGCAGTTCAAAAATAGGTAGTTGGTAAAATCTCACACTATATAAATTGGCAATGAGACTGTTATAGAGTTGTAAGTTTTTCCAAAAGAAAAGTTACTTACGTCTTACACATTGAACAATGATGACTTCTATCAGGTTTCACAACGTGGCATACCTCACAATAACGAACAGCTGAAAGAAAATATTAAGAATGAGTTGAAAATAAAAACATTTAGACAACATGTTAGGTGGAACAATATGTACTGACTATTGGCAAATAATGTAATGTAACTTACTATTTGAATGAGTTAGTGTCTGTACGGGTAGTTTTCTTGCTATGGTTTCAAGAACGGAATTTGGATTTTCCTAAAACATAAAAAATATAATATATATATAAACACTATACTTATACAATACAAAGTATTTACAGGTATATTAAAGTAAGAACAAACTGTATTGAAGAATATACAATTACTTTATGGTTTCCGTGTTTGGACGGCCTGATCCAAACACTTGGGAATGTTGCGAGAGTTAATTAAGAGAAGCACGCGAAACACGAGCCGAAGGCGAGTGATTTCGGCGAGTGATTTCGCGCGCTTTTCTTAACTCGAGCAACATTCCCAAGTGTTTGGATCAGGCCATCCAAACACGGAAACCATAAAGTAATTGTTTTATAAAATAACAACTTTCCGTGTTAAAATTTCACTTCCGTGTTTGGATGGCCTGATCCAAACACAGGTTTCGACCAATCAGAGCACGCGTTATATACATGTTATTTTATAATAAACTATAGAAAATGAGAGAAAACGCAACAGATCTCTGGTATGTTCAATTGTCTTACTTGATTGCATGCCCTTCAATGACTATATATATTTTCTACGTCAAAGATGGCAACATTTTACTAGGTGGTAAATTAGTAATAAGATATATAGTTTACAAGATGGCATTCTTATTTGGAGTAGGTTTGTTTCTTATATAACATAACAAAAAAGTCTGCTTTTTGTACGCCGTTCGTTCATGTTGTTTTTTTCTTGTTTTTATTCTTGTATTTAAAACTACCACTTGCTATATAATTACATACCGCTGGCTCAACCTACACATAACTCAGTTATCTAACTGTATTATGTGTTGGCTACGTGATTTCCGTATCTAGCTGTAAGCTAGTGGCCAACCAGAAGGCAAATAGGGACTACAATGTATAATAATAACAATAATCTAACAAAATTGTGGTTGGTAACTTACTGCTTCGTTCAAATTTTGTTGATCTGTTGGTGACAAATGAAACTAAAATGAACAATTTAAAATTATTACCAAGACCATAGATGATGCACCCTGTCATGTTTTTGCTTCAAAACATTCATGAATATGACAACATTCCTAACGCTGTGATTTTCACATCTTGGAAATGGTGACGTCTGATAGGTCGGCGAGAAATTATGCCAAGATTAGCTAATAATGATTGTGACATTTTACCAATAAAGACATAACAATGTTTTGCATTCTTGAATGTTTGGTGACAAAAACATGGCAGTTTTTTCAAGTGAGAGGAAGCACCCATGGTTTTGGTAATAAATTAAATATTTATAGAAACAAGTTTGTTTCGATATTGATAATGAATAAATATTTAACCTAATTAACCCAGGGTATATTAGTATAGGTAATAGGATGGTTTCGAGTGCAATTTGGATAAAACATGCACCAGTGAATTTTTCAAAGAGCATGTCTGAAGGACAAGTGCTATTTGAGGTCTTTGAAAAACTCACAAGTACTTGTTTTATCCAAATTTCACAAGAAGCCTTCCTATTTAATATGTACTATACATAAAATACTGAAATCAACCAATCATAATTGAGTAACATTTTTATGTATATTATAGACTACAAATACAACAATGGCAATATTCTTGTACATTGACATGAAATGTATCCAATGGGGGTAGGGGGGCCTTTTGCCCCAAATCGATAAAGGCCCATAAAATATCTTGCTACAAGATTGCTAAACTGATCATATAAATAAATCCCAGCTGCATCAGTGCTGGAGAATAAAGTGTAATACTGTAATATATTGTGAAACACTGCTTCTCTCACTTTGTAATTGAATATCATAGAAGCCCCAGGGAAAGTTTTGCCTTGCATTCAGGTTACCTGCAGTGGAATTCTTCCTGGGGAGGTGAGGATTGTCTTCCAATATGACCAAACGAACAGCACAAAAAATACATGATAAAACAAAATGTACACCACTAAAAATAACAATTCATGTATTAATAATATATTTTGTACTTTCCTACCGGCCACTCTTTTGATGAAAACCTTAATTTCCACCATTTAGGCAATTGGTAGAAAAGATATGTATGAATCAACATTTATTGTAAATACCTTTTTCAACATTGTCATCAACAGTTCCTATTGGAAAAACAATATTTATTACTATTATGATAGGTACTTATTGTATATATAAATCAACAAGGTAAGGTTACAGTGTACACAAAGCACAGCCAAAATGCAGATGGGAAAAGAACATTGGCCAATTGATGGTTGACATGATGCACTCGTGGGCTGGGTCTCCCCTTGATGAGTAAAATAGGCAGATAGGCCAGTTAACTCAGACCATTGGCCAATTGATGGTTGACATGATGCACTTGTGGGCTGGGTCATTACTTTCTTTAACCCATTAAGCACCAGCACTCTCCCCTTGATGAGTAAAATAGGCAGATAGGCCAGTCAACTCATTTAAGCACCAGTGCTCTCCCATATGCTGTATTGCAGAATTATTGACTACATTTCGGAAAAAATTGGCTTGGACATAAAAACTGGAGATGCCCAAATTTATCAGAGTTTGCTGTACATCTAATAAACATTTAGTCCCAGAGTAGACATGTTTCCTGTATGCAATATACTTAATTCCTATTCAACTTCATATATACATAATCTATATTAATTTGATTTTTAGGTGCCCCCCCCCCCCTCCCGCCACTGAGAGCACTGGCGTTCAGTGGGTTAAAGAGTATAGAAGATAGGCTGTTATTGCATAAAACATTTTGCATAAAATTAGGCCAATTTTGCATAAAATTAAGCAAAATACAATCGCCAAAAACTGTTGATACCCTACCACATTGTGGCGTTAGACAGAGGAAATACTAAAGTCTGGCGCATTGGCCACTAATGAGTTAACAACAAACATGGTCAGACAGGTTTGTTAACCCATTAACCAGCAGTACTCTACCACTGACGACTAAAATCATCTGGCGTTAGACATAGTAAATACTAAAGTAGGGTACATTTGGGCGCATTGCCAGGTAACGAGTTAATATTGAATAATCAGTATTTATAAAAAACTGATAATTATCGGTATATTGATATACCGCAACAGCCTAACAGAAGACTCATGACATGAGGGCAACTGACAACTTTGAACTTTATTAAAGGATTACACAGATTACTGGTGAACCAGTATTTTACATTGTGGTCCAAAAAATGTAAATAGTTTAATTAAATTACAATATCGACATATTTCAATTAGAATGTCTGTGTGACCTGAAAATGATCACAACTTTCATTTACTAAAAGTATTTTAATTATTAAACTAAGTGTTTTTTAAAGTTACCCAATTCACAACTGTGTTTAAGGTTACAGAACACCTTTGAGTGTTAATTTTGCCTAAAATGTTTTTATTGGTTTCCATGAAAGCATTAAACTAGTTCTACTATCTGACCAAGTTTGAACGAAAAATGTTGAAAACTCGCAGAGTTATTTAATAAAGTATATTTCGCTGCAATAAGAAAAACATTGAAAATGTAATATTCAAATTCAATTTATTAAATCGATTATGTGATAAAACGAACAGTAACTAGAGACCTAAAATAAAAAGTCTATGAAGATTTCTAGTAGCGTAGTTACTAAAACATGGAACGATCCACAACGACCCACAACGACCCCACTACGACCCACTACAATCCACAACGACCCACTACGATCCACAACAATCCACTACGATCCCAGAACGACCCACTACGACCCACAACGACCCACTACGACCCCTTGTGAATTTGTGGATCGTTGTGGCTCGTTGTGGGTCGTTGTGGGGTCGTAGTGGGGTTGTAGTGGGTCGTAGTGGGTCGTTGTGGATCGTTCCATGTTTTAGTAACTACGTTTCTAGTAGGTCTCTAGCCCAAAATCTTCAAATTATTGTAATATATTTTAAAGGACATTGGCAATAAAAAAATAGTTTAGTTCATTTGAAAGAACTCTTAAAACTATATATTAAACTCTATTACAGATTGTTTATATCTTGCTTAGTTTTCAAAATATTTCGACGGAAAAAATTGAGCTGTTGCCATCTTGGATTATTGAGAATATGCATGTTACGTCAAGAGACGGGTCACGCTAATTTTTTATCTTGAGAGTAAGCGATCAATATGGGTCCAAAACTTCGTTTCTGGTTGCTGTCAGAAATTTAGAAATGATTAAAAACATTTCAAACAATTTTGGATTGTTATTCGGTCATTTTCAAGTAGTTTCATATGGTTAACCCAACTCCTGACATCATCAAAACCATAGTTAATGAGGTAAAGAATTTTTCCAAGATGGCGGAAAGCTCATTAATTTCGGTCTAAATATTTCGAGAACTAAGCAAGATATGACAAATCGGTAATAGAGTTTAATATATCATTTTAAGAGTTCTTTTGAATGAGACATACTAATTTTTTATTGCCAATGTCCTTTAATTAAGTAGATTTTTATACATGGGAAAATAAAGTTAAAAAAATTTTCTCCGGAAGAATTTTACGGCAATTACTGATTTTCAAACAAGTTGTTCTCCTGCGGGTTTTAACGAATTTTTCTCAAATTTTCACAGGACATAGCTAAAGACGTCAGTTTTAAAATTATGTTCGGCTTTTTTCTAATTTTGTATATTTTAGTAATAACTAAGGAGTAATTCACACAAACGATTCAGAAATATTTTGCAGTCGCCAAAGAAATCACCATATCAGCGGAATGATGAAATAAATAAAAATTTCCAAACACAATTTTTTTGAACAACTATTTTACTGTATAAAAATTATATTTTCATAAATATATCTTAAAAACAAAAGGAACACAACTCAAAAGCGTAAAGGTACCGCGATTTAAGATTTTCCTGAATAATTCTTACATTATTTTATTGTTTGTATGACCTGGCGAACATTTGGTGAAAATTTTATGAAAATCGGACTGATTTCGAGCACGCAGTAGCGATTTTCCACAAAACGCCAAAAAGGGTGTTCTGTAACCTTAACATGGAATGCATCCTGAAATATTTCCTTTCTATTTTGGCTAGTACAGTACATATTGGAAGTTGGACATTGGACTATTGGTTAGACAAGGGCAATAATTAGGGTAGGGGTTTCTTTTTTTATCAACCCATTGAGCCGCAATGTACCCCAGTGCGGCCTACTCATTTTTTTCACTTGTCAATGGGGAAGCTATGCAGCTTGATGGGTTAACCAGGAAATCTGACAATGTCACAAATATATCTCTCAAAGCCAAAGACCATTTGGATTTAATTAGTTTAAAGCCTCTCTTTTTATTATAAACCAATAAAAACAGCATTATTATTAATAAGTCTTTAAATACTTTGAAACTCGTCAAACAATGAGTGGATACTTGTATTGCAAATTCTAAAATAAATATTAAAACTAATATCTAATTTGATACAGACTACTCACCGACACACAAGACAACTACATAAGCATAATATGACCACACAACGATAGAAAATATAACGAGAACAGGAAACCATTGTACAGCTCTTAAAAGGCATTCGATAATGTCCATAAATTTCCCCATTTTATCTATATATTTACAAGCTATACATAAATTTTGGCGACGTTTCGTGTTTCTGTCAGGTCAGAAAAAAGAAAACATTTTTGAGTATTGGTCGTGAAAGACTGGGTCTGAACCCAATGGCAGTCTGGGAAGGCTTCTGTGAAAACAAAACTACAATGTGGAAATTTGTAAGGAGAATTTAATCTTATATTTCTCTATTTCGACATCATTTTAGTAAAGGTTTGTGTATTTTTCACTTTGTTATATATGATTATTTTCCTGCTGGTAATAATTCTTAGTATTTTTATACACTGCTCTCCATATTAAAATGTGTGTACTATACAACACATACACACATATGTTTGTAGCAATTATATAAATGAATATTTTTTATGTTTAAATCACAAAATCTAATTATATTTTTCATGAATATATCTGTCATAGAATGTTGAAAAATAGTTCTGCCTGTATCATGTTTAAATTGGGAAAAAGTACAGGGTGAAACCTGATTTGTTCATTACATAGCCACCACAATTATGTATTATCATTTTTGATTTGTGAATAGACCCATTGCACTGACGTCACAAATCCTTAGAGTGTCCTCCAGATGCTCCCTAACAATATCTGTTCGGGTACAACAACCACAAACAGCGCAAAAACTAACCATTTTAATACAAAATGATTATAAAGTTTTTCAAAATTTGCTTTGTTTACAGAAGTTATATTATGCATAGATTGCTAATTTGTCCTCCAGATGCATCGTCACCGGCGCTGTGACGTCATGTGCAATGGGTCTATACTGTCCGGAATTCATTCAAGCTGCTATAGATGATGACAGCCATTCTTGTTAAAACTCATGAACATGAAACTGCTGTGTATGCCGTTCTTGATTTCCAACAAAACGTACTGATGCCATAATACACAGTAATAACATGCCTAGCTGCCTTGCAGTCTGTTTGCTACCGTTCACTCCTTGCCTTGCTCCCCTTGTGCATTGTGATGTGATTGGCTATGTTGATATGGCGGCAAAAAGTTCCCAAATATGGAACCATAATTGTGATTGGTGAATAGGAAAGGAATATGGTGTGAAAGTGAGCAGCCTGTATGTGGGGAGCGATGCAAGGAGTGAACTTGTGAACAAGCTGCAAGGGAGACTAGAATGTGCGTTAGTGCTTTGTTATTTTATTGTTCTTAATGCAAGATGATTTTATTTGTGGTGGGGAAGGTGTTGGGCTTGATTATGATTATGAAGTGTTATTGGGTCATTCCAGAAAACATCCATACCTCCCCCACGGAGGAAATTGGAAGTTAACCCCCCTACCCCCTTTGGATGTCCTAATACATTTACTACACATTTACCATACATTTATCAGAAACAATTTTGTCTCCCCTCCCCCTCTGGACGGCAGAAATTTCCTCCGTGGGGGGAGTGTGGATCTTTTCTGGAACGACCCATTTTCTGCTGGTTGAGGCACAAAAGAAGCAGAAAATGTTTTCTCACACACTGCGGGGGGGCCAATAGGGGCCCGGGTGTTATTGTGTGGTGCAGGTTAGATGAGCACATTTTTCTTGTTGCTCGCCATGTAGCTTGCATCCCTATCAACTCGGTTGTTGCGGTATTTGAAAAAAAAAACGAAAACCGATACCAGGAAAAAATACCAAATAATACCGATATGTCGATATTTTTCGTGATTGTATTTTGCTTAATTTTATGCAAAATTTTCTGTTTTCAAATGACACCAAAAAGCTGCGATATAACAAGAGAAATGTTCGCCTTGGAAATTGAAAATGTGTATATTTGCATTGATTATATGCACTCAGAATGAATCATGTGTTATATTTTTGGCCGGGAAATTTGTTTCAATACGTGTTATTCAACTACGAATTCGAAACAAAGATTGTGATATCTCACCAGATAAATCGTGTTTGTTTTTTTAAAAATTTGTAATCCAGCATTGTTTATGTTCTAAAAGTTTACTTTTTGACAAGCGAAATGACATATTAGACCTTGCAACGACAACAAACACGTTTAGCTCTCGCTCTAACCTTTATTACAGATTTTCCCACAGCCTTAGCAAGTTGATCGTCTTTGTCCTTCTGAAATAACTCCAATCAGCTCTTGAAAAAACTTGATATGACGTTTAAATATACAAATGTAAATGTGATATCGATAATATGGTACCAAAAAATATAGATATTCCGTTATATTGAAAATTTCAATATCAAACAATCGGTATTTATTTATTTTACTAACTTACCCTGTCTTACTTATCAAGGGGGAGAGCACTAGCACTCAATGGGTTAATGTAAATTGTTTGTTCTCACAGTTTATGTTATCCTGAGTTCATACCTCCGGCTCCTCCTCCTGTGTTTGTCAATCAAATAATTCTGATAAAGACAACACATTATTGGTCAAGTGAAATTCACAGTATATTTTATTCTGATCTAAGATGATATTATTGATATAGACTGTTGCAGCATATACTAGATATATTGATGATTACCAGTATTTTTCAAAAAATTGGATATATTATATTGCTTTTTTAAAAATATCAATATAATACGAAACCTATTGAGTACCGAACTGTATTTCTGGGCTATTTTTAGGGCTTTTTTAAGACTAGCTGATAAATGGCCCCCAAAAACACCATGTTGAATTGAGTTTTGATACTCAATCATCTCATCAAAAGTTTCAGTGCAGTAAAAATGATGCTGTTTGAGTTCAGTTTGTGACATGGAAATAATTTTCCCATCAGAAACCCAACAAAGTAAGAAAAACCAACATACCACCTGTAGTCCCAGGCAAGCCTGGAAATAAGCGTCTGGTCACGGTCATTGACTAGTACAAATACGTGATTTCTAGTGTTTTGACAGGCACAACTTTGATTGTGTCTGTCACTTTGTCCAGTTTGCATTATTCAGCATTTCAACCCCAAAAAATTTCCTCTTAATTAAATTAATCACTCAAAATATCCCTCTTTCCCAAAATTTCCTTCCATTTTTGAGAAAATATACTAAAATAATTGAACTTGTTACTTAAATAAAGTCTAGATTTTAGCTTAAAAGCAAATTATATCAAATTATCAGGAAACTGTGATAATTTCTATATATTAGAAGAATATTAATTCAACAAAATTAAAATGTAAGTTTAGCAAAAGCTGCTCTGCAACAACCAATGATACCATCAATACAACTACCATGATACTTTGCAGGTATTTTCTTCATTATGCAATAACACGTAAGAAAAGGATGCTGGTAGTTGCATTCAGAATATGCAATAAGGGGAACCGACTATTGCTTGATAAATTGTGTATCTGATGCACAGATTATGCTTGAGCAGTCATTTATGCTTGAGAATAATCATGATCAGGGATGTGAACCCACCCCTCATGCATGTTTTAACAGGAATTTTTCTGGAAAAAATTTTTGACCCTTAATTGGTTTATGTCCGGAAAAATTTTTTCGCCCCTTTTTTGAAGGTCCGGAAAAATTTTTTTCGACCTCCCCCCACCCCCCCCCCGGCGGGGCAGGGCATCTACAGCAGGGCATCATCGGCTTTCGCAGGGCAATTCTAGCAGACACCCCCTAATTAAAAAGGGCTAGTTTCGCCCCTGGTCATGATGATACCTAAACTTCTTAGCATTGCCTTTCTGAGTGCAGCATTTCCTTTCTGAGTGCAGCATTGCCTTTCTGAGTGCAGCATTAGAGAGTTTGAGCAAGACAACGACGTCGGACGACGACGACGTGGTTGACAATTTTTGCCTGTCTTGCACATTATCTTGCGCATTCTGAGTTTAGGGTCAGGAGTGAAGACAGATTAGAGATTCATGTCTAGCTGTTTATGAATGCTGACTCAAATCCTTACCCTGATCAGGATAAAACAGCGAGACATGAATCCATATCCCGTCTTCGTTCTTCTGCCTTCGTACACAACGAATATTTTGGCAAAATTCGTTGTGAACTTCGTTCTGCACGAAGGCAGAAGGACAAAGACGGGATATAGTTTCATGTCTCGTTGTTCCCTTCTGGATCAGGGCAAGAATTATGGTCAGTATTCATAAACAGCGACACATGGGAAGACACGTTGAGCAACCACCAGTGACGTCCAACTCAGTATGCGCAAGATAATGTGCAGGTGGCAAAAATTGTCAAGTATGCCTTCGTACTTCGTTGTCTTGCTCAAACTCTCTATTGCCTTTCTGAGTGCAGCATTGCCTTTCGTGAAAATGAAACGTACATAATATTAATAATATGAACCAACCTCTACATGTTGCAAGGTTGCATGAAATCAGTATCTCGTCATGTTTTGAACTTCAATTACAAATTCAATATTAATAAGCCACTTTTATTTTAAGCCTTTTCTCTACCTATTCACTATAGATTACTAATAGGCCACTAAAATTTCCTTGTAGGCTTTGTTTAATGTCACATGGGTAAAAGATGAAAGAAACTAAACGGTAACAAAACAAAATGCCTGGAGCAACTGTTACACATACAATCATTGACGTATGGCAGGAAAATTTGGAGGAAGAATTTGCAAAGATGAGGGAAACAGTAGTGAATTATCACTTTATTGCCATGGTAAAATGTGTATTACAATATTACATAATTTCAGTTAAAAGAAAAAAAATCACTTATAAATAAAATATCACGTGTCGTTTGTGAAAATTATTAATTATAGAAACACTTTTTCTCCTCTTTCAAACTTTTCCTCATTGTCAACGCCGATCAACACCCTATTGATAAACATGACAAAACCTTAACTGTCAGTGTTGAGGCTTAGAGTTTCGTTCTCTTTCTCGTGCTGGCGCTCATGAAGAATAATCAGCAAACATGCAACTTGGATAGCGGTACCAATGCAGGACAAGCGCTAATGTGCAGTCGCGAATTGATAACACAATGGAAGAACACACCAACTGAGTGGACCACATGCCCAAGGATTTGTTGGATCATTTCTCAATTCTTGACCAGGCAATGTCCGATGACCGGCGTTATTTCAAACCCAGCAAAATACTCCATTCATACCCAAGAATGGGACTTTACGTACTCGCTATTTAGAATTGCTCTGTTATGGTTTTTAGTTGTTTCAATTATTACATGTACATAGACACAACAGTACCAATAATTACTACACAATGTTACATGGTGTTACCCATACATTGCTCTTGATTTTCTTATTAACAAAATAGAATTCCCTATCCTAAATATCATGCAACATTTGCAATTCCTAAAACATATGTAATATACTGCAGTAATAGAATTGAATGCGTTGAGGGAAGTTGCCCATTATTAATTAAACCTTTGATGATATAATCATGAGTTTGATGATTTTCTTCATGTTTGGGAATGATGTCTACTAAACTATCCCAACTACATTTCTTTTCAAATTGTTTCTGTGGTATTAAA